GGGGGGGGGGGGGGGGGGGGGGGGGGGACAAGAATGAAGAACATGGAAAGAGGGAAACGGCGGTTGCCAAGGTCTTGCAGAACAAGAGGGTCAGTGGTGTGCATGATGTTGGATAAGCGATGGTGGGCTCCGACAGGTGGCCCACATCTTCCGACCCATCGCTACAGACTCCCTTGCCTATAGTCAATGGGATACATTGCACTTGTTACAGCCTTCGTCACGAGAGATTACAAGGATCGTTTAAGCGACTGGGAGCTTCGTCAACGATACAAACTCCGAAAACGGTGCCTGAAAACGTTGTTACCTGCACACGCTGTCCCCTCGCGGTAACAGCATCTTCATCACCAAGGTCATGAAGGATGCTCTGCGCTGAGACTTTAACGCGTTTGCTCTTAAAGGAGGTGTCGGTGTGGCTGGCCGCCTGCGGGGCTCTCTTCCCGACCTGCATTCACAGCAGTTTCGCGCATACCTTAGACAACAGGCGTGAGTACGACGATGACAACAACGGCCACGACGACGACGACGACAAGAGTTCCATACAATGCAATACGTGCCATCATCATGTGCGATGTATGCGAACAGCACACTGACGATGCTGCTTGCAGGGAACTCAACCGTTGTACAAAACAACGCGAACAATGTAACTACCGTGTGAAGACAGATGGGAAATTCCAGCAGTCGGTCCTGCTGTGAGCAATAGGACACCAATTTGACGAACATAGGATCATGTGCAACACACAGCTTTCGTAATACCTCGATTGGGTATCAAATTCAGCCAACTATTGAGCGTACAGCAGCTGTACAGCAGTATTTGCGGGTGTGAAACGGACAGCAGTTATTAGATTCCACAACTTTCACTGCATGCACATAGGCGATCAAGGGGTGTGATTTCCTGTTCATTTTGGGCATGCACGGGATCGGGGGCGAGGGCTAGTGTTGACGGTGTACTTCTAAGTTCACCCCAAAGCTTCATCATCGCGTGGCGTCATCACGTGCTCATGATGTACGTCTGGTGTACACATCGTTGGGTCCAACCCTCAGCATTGCAGCCCATAAATCGGTAGACAATGGGCGTGATGTTATCCGAGTCAAGGTCGATCTTAACAAATAACATACATCGCAGAGCGGAAGCCCGAGTGCGTGCATGACACCGGAACAACCTCGGCAAGAACTTCCCACAAAAAACACCACCTTCTGAAAAGCAACCATGGGTAGTAAGGTGTTGGGTGCTGCTTTCATGGCGGCTGGCGAGCAAACCTGCGTGGTATACTGCTGCAGGGTGTTATCTGGCGTCACGAAACGGAGCCCACAAATCTACCGGTACCCAATGTGTGTGTTGGGCGTGACATGGCAGTCCAGCCAGGACACGCAAGCAGTTTACGAAATCGTGGGAACTCGTGGGAACGTCTTGACAGCCCCTGTCGTGCCGTCACACACACACACACTCACGACAATTGGTACTACTTCCGTGCTGACTGGTGAAACCTGGCCGGGGAAAATGGGTTACATTCTATTTTTGGGGACTTCAAGTATGCTGAACGACAAGCGAACCGACACAGGCAACCATTTAGCCGACGAGTTTTCTGGATCATACGTTGAGGATAGGATGTTCCAAACATCGTCACGTGGTGTGCTGCAAGTGCTCGGGAATTTACACGACAACCCCGACCCCACAGCATCAGCGAAGGGGTAGCCACTCCGCCACACACGCCACTCTCTTTCGTGCGAACTGGGCGGGTGGAGAAGGGGCAACATAGGTCCCCACCAACCTCACCTTCGCCTTGAGGCGCTTGAAGTCAGCTGTCGCCCCGGTTTTGTTCTTCTTCCGTAAGAAGTTCGATTTCGGCATATCTCTCTCCCATGCGTCCGCACGACGCTGCTTTGTGCGTCCTGCTGTGCAGTGCGGCGTCGAACGACAGCGAGTCATGAAGGGAGGCCCTTCCACTGAGAACTATGTCGCACTGCATGGGGGTGAAGGATATCCAACCAGGGAGACCCGGTTCAAACAAAACGAGCTAACGGCCACATCACACACCCCATCACAGCTGATCACCTCACGAGGCAGCAGGTGCGGTGCCCAGCAGGTCCCCAGCGACGCTCCAGAGCACCACAGCACAACACACTCAAATCCACGGCTATGTTGAGTTGGGACAGCGAGGAGTTCAACTTTGTCGGTCTTGCACGGAGCCCTGTCAAGCGGACGCCCCGGACGTACCACGACGACGATGGCGCCGTGATCAAGACCGAAGAGCCTTTCTCGCGCTCAACGACTGACCGCATGTCCACGGGGACTGCTCGCTCAGCCGGGTACTCCTCAGTTGGACCTGCAAGCAGCGCTCGCCATCGCCAGGCTCTCCGCCCAATGGCCGAAAACAGCGTGTACACGCCCGCTCCTTCCGCGCTGGACAGCATGGTCAACATCATCTCGACCTCCATCTCCAGTAACAAGAAGGCCCTGACGGCAAGTCGATCCGGCCTACCCGTGTCCCGCACGCTGAAGTTATCGCCTGCGGACACCACGCGCACCACGGCGGGCGAGAAGAAAGAACAATCGGTGCTGGTGAGGGCGTACACGCCTGCAGCCGCCGTCAGCAGGGGGCACCAGCGGCACGAGCAGCAGGAAGCGGTATCGCCGGCCGGCAACATGCTGCACGGTGATCACACTCACCGCTCGATGACCCGGTCTGCTCTCCTCTCCGCCCTGGATCACTCACCGTACACCCCCCAGCAACAGCACCAACAGCAAGGATCTCATGTTTCGCTAGACGACAGCTCGCCAAGAGCAACACAGGCCGGCAACAACGCGGCCTCCCCGTCTTTCTCCTCGGACATCCCCACCGGGATCAAGAAAGCCTCATCCCCGTCTTCTCCGCAGGCCTACGCCCAGCACCACGACCACGATGGCCCCTTGACACCGTCCTTCCTTGCGCCGGCCGCGAGACTCGGCGAAGCGGGCTTTACGGACGACGACCGTAGCCGTACGTGGTCCGAGTGCTCCTTCACCAACGCGGTGTTCTCTCCAGACCCCGTCACCCCCGCCGTGGCGCGAGAGAGTCGAGGCGGCAACGACGGCGGCGGCGACGGCGGCAACACCGCCGTGGGCAGCGGCGACAGAGGTGGGGTGTCCAGAGGTGAGATGGCCAAAGGCGAAGAAGGCCATGGCGCCAGGGCGACGCCGACTCCGCCGCAGAGAAGGACTAGCAGCCCGCCTGCGTCGGAGATCGCGTACACCCGCGACCACACCGCTACCGCTCACACTGCGTGCACCCCGGCAGCCGTGTCGGCACTCGTGCGGATGGGCGGCCGCTCCGTGGCAGCGGAGACACCCGGGAGCGGAACAGCTGCGAACAGGTACCGCGGTTTCATTGCGCAGAGCCCGATCGCGCTATCCGCCACCGCGAAGAAAGAAGACCCCGAGGAGGGAGAGGCGGAGATGCCGAGCACCCCCGCCGCAGCGGCGACTCTCGCGGCAATGATGAAGGTCGCTAGTGCTGGCGTGCATGGGTCTGATCCTGCTGCTGCTGAGGAACAGGGGGTGATCATGGGCAAGAATCAGGACTCTACCTCTCAAGAAGCTTCAGGAGTACGGCCGAAGGATGTAAAGGTGCGTTTTTTGAATTGTTCCGTATTCTCCGCAGCCTACAAATTAGAATTAAGAAGACTTTTCGTTGCGCCGATTGACGGCTCCGCAGGCGGTCCTGTCACAATGGGATGGACAGCAGTAGGTGCTCGAAGTTCTCTTTCGGTCCTGAGCGTACAATCGCCCAAACAAAAACGCACTCTACAGCAGTAGCGACCGCATGCACTTGTTCGCTTGAAACGACGCAAGATTCAGTGTAGAATTGGCTGATCGACGCCCGCGATGCTGAACAATGCAGAACTTGCGCCAGCGGAGGACAGCGGCTCCCGAGACACCATCCCGACGAGAGAGTATGAGTGCCGGGCTGCCGATAATAACCCCAAGGCGCAGGAAGGCGGCGTCGCAGCTTCTCGACCTAAGCAAGGCAACCCCGAGGGGAATGATCAGGTATGTACCTTGTGGTGGCGTGTTTGACGGCAGAGGTAGAAGCGCAGCAGCGTGGCTTCGTCTCTGTACATGTTGTCCTGTCTGTTTTATGAAGCAGAGCTTGCTTCGTTTGCGGAGATTGAAATATGCCCGGTCGGTAGAGGCAACAGCGGTAGCGCCCAAGTAGTTTGGTGGGTGGTGTCAGGACATGGCTTTGATCTCTTCTGTTTTGAAATATGCTTCCAAGGTTGTTCAAACGAAACACTGCTCTGTGTGTGGTCCCACCCTCGTCCGTGTTGGCGTAGGGGATTGCTGTCGAGCAACGGACATCCCGCCCAGGCTTTGCAGAACAAGCACCAGGCGCACCAGCGCTTCGTGCCCCAGGTGGCTAAGCTGGTGGAGAACGTTGAGGAGGAGACTCCGCGAGCGCTGCTGAAAGGAGCTTGCGTTCGCGAAGACAACCGCTCTCGGTGGAAGTCCACATCCGTTGCAGAAGCTGCCGCCGCTGCCGCTGCCGCCGCAGCTGCTACGGCGGCGGCTGCTGTTGCCGCGGCGGGTTCCGCGGACGGGGCTGGCGGCTTCGTGGAGGGTCGCGAGGCGGGCGAGATTAGTGCCGAGCTAGCCGCTGTGAGTTGAACGCCGTGTCGGTGCTAGGTTTCGGACTACACCGCATGCTCCCATCGCTTTACCCAACGAAGATATGGCGGAGTAGCCGACTCTGTGTCAGGTTGCAAAGAATCGACATTCGTACAGTCAAGTTAAATGTGGAGCCCATCAGGCAAGTCGCTGTGAACTTTTTGGAAAAACTGCTCCTGTGATTTCCCAGTTTGGCTGAAAAGGCTGCATGAAAATCGCACTTACGTACCAGAGCCATCGTTTGCAACAATCAGCAACAAATGAAGTAGTTCGACGTTTGCTGCTGGTCATACGCTCCGGTCTTGGCCGCTCTTAACATCTAGCATTACTCTTACGCTCGGGTCTTCGGTCGTACGACATGGGAAGTCGCAATAAGCGTATGTGATTGATTACAGTCGGGTGTAACATCCCGTGCATACACAAGGGCCAAGGGTTGCATTGTTTAGACTCAGCCTAGCACAGATGAACAAAAAGTGATACCTTCCACCCTGAGGTTCTCCGTGTTCGACCCCAGCCTGCGACAAGCCTCCTCCTTAAAGACGACCAAAAACTGTGGCGTTCCAAACGAATTGTGAAACGTGGACTTTGTCCAACCTTTGCCCTGGTCTTGTGCAAAAACTTGCACCGTGTTAAAGATGTACAGCATATCCACTACTGGCATAATACACGTCAGCACTGACTTAGTCAGCGCTAGTCAGCCCCGACTTTTAGCATAGTGGATATGCTGTACATCTCAACAAAAGTACAACCCGTTCCCCATACCGCCGGCCGTCTTGCTCATGAAGGTCTTGACGGTAATGTGCGCTGACCCGGCTGTCATGAAGACGAGAACGGAAGGCAACGTATACCACCGGCCGTCTTGCTCGTTGCCTTCCGTTCTCGTCTTCATGACAGCCGGGTCAGCGCACATTACCGTCAAGACCTTCATGAGCAAGACGGCCGGCGGAATGGGGAACGGGTTGTACTATTGTTAACATTTACAGCGTATCCACTATGCTGCAAGTCAGCGCTGCCCCATGCGGTTTCGTCGACTTACAGGCGGGAATACGTTTCTTCATATGGACGACCGGAATGTATGCCGTGACTTTCAGGCGTGTATCCCAGACTTTGTCCCGGAAAAAAGGCGTCTCAAATGGCTTTACACGAACAGTAGCGTACCGAATGTGCGGCAGCGAACTCCGGGTGATCAGTCTTGGCCCAGTAAGCAAGCGGGTCGACTCAGCGCAGAACCTCCTGCGGAAGAAAACTCCAGCAGAAGGATCTCCCCGTAGAATTGTCGAAGACGACTTGTGTGCGACCACGCCAGAGCAATCGACGACAGCGGCAAGAGTCGCAGTCGCTGCAGGCCTACACTCACTCACAGTCGAGGCTTCAAAACCTGTTGTGGATATCGTCTGAGATACCCTTGACAAGTAGGCAAGTCGTGCCTCTCGCATGAATCTCTCGCATGGACAGTTCTGGATAGTCATGGCTCTTACCTTTCCTGGTCATCTCTAGGCACTACCGTCATCCGGACTTCTGCGTTCTCTGTGTATCTATCTGTGTGTGTTGGCCAACTAAGCGCCAGTGTTGAACATATCTTCACGTCTCTACACAGCGCAAGAGGTGCGCCTACATCTGCTCTTCAACCACTTGCAATGCCAACCATCTCGAGGAACATCGACAGGCACAGCCTTGCCCACTTGTCAAGGGCATCTCAGAAGATATCCACAACACACCGTCTCCCCCAAGCTCAACACAAACATTCCTTCCCGTTCTAAATCTTGGACCAGGATCAAGCCCCGCGTTCGGCACCCGCGCACCCTGCGGCTTCGGTATTCAGCCCCCCCTCCGCCGCCTCCGTAGCCGTGGTTCACCATGGTGTTTCTGCGATGGGAGCGGGGAGGGTGTTCATGAGGGCGGTCCTGGTTCTCATGCTGCTGGCTCTGCTTTGCGGGGCTTTGGTGGTCGTGGCGGATGTTGTGGTCTTCGTTTGCCTTGCGTTTACCGACCCAACACCGACCCAGCCCATCTACTAACACAGAATCAGGTGATAGTGGTGTGAAGGTTGACTACTGTGCATAAAGTTTTTCGGTGGGAGAATGCGAAACACACCCATAGGACAGTACGAGCAACTAGGTTGTCAAGGCTACTCAATGCGTGGCATTCGCAGGTCCTGCGCCAACGCTACCCCAGTCGTTGTGGTTTCATTTTGTGCGGTTGCTTGCAGAAATTAGGCTTGACGGTCTTGCGTCGATGCGGCCTCCGTGTTTTGATTTTGCTGAGATGGTTCGTTCGTGTTGTCTCGTCGTGGGGTATTGATTGGTTCTTAGCTATACAAAAGCCGCTGCCGGTAATATCATTGAAGTGCTCACACACGTTCTAAGGGGACAGCGGCTGACAGCAGTACCGAGCTTTCGGTGTTTTGGAGTGGTCGTACGCCGGCCGCAGACCCTCGTACTGGTGGTTGTGGAGTGGTTTAGATGTTAGCGTGCGGACTCCGGGCTCATGCTCGCCGTTCCGCTACATAGACTGTAGCTGGTGGTAGCTCTAAATATCCCGTGTTGTGGTCCAGCCATGGCCACTATACAAGGTGTCACCTCAAATACCCGCCCGCTTGCCTGCGTGGAGGTGTTGAAGTGCCAAATGTTGAAAGAGGCAAGCCACAAGGGACGGGGACCCACGATGGTGATAATATATATTCTTCGTTTAACTGAGTCTGGCACGAGGTCATTGGATGTGCTGGATACCATCCGTGTCGAGTGTCGAGACCCGCATCCTATGTCAAACGATGGGAGGTTCTACCCACGTGGGGAATAGGAGGGGTGGGGGAGAAAAATAGACGTTGGTGGTATACGTTAGTGTTGGTAAAATGCGTTTTTCTTGCACTGTTGGGGCAGGACGCGTTAACGGGCCGAGCGGTAGCGAACGAATTTGCTGCTGCAGGGCATCGTCATGTGAGAGAGGGGGGTAGAATATCTAACATCGAATATATTCTCTAGTGGTGCTGTACCTTCAGGACTCATTTCTGGCAGACGTGCCACGTGATGTAAGTAGGTGACTGGCACGTGTAAGCACTTTGCGAGATTTGACTGCGGCGTTGTGTGGGTGAAAGCGTCCACTTTGTGGTTGTTCCACATCGATAGATACAACTCTCATCCCGTGCTGCATCTACCCAGTGCGTGATAGCGATAGTGCTCACCATGCGGTACGCACGGACCTTTATTATGGTACCAATTTTGTAGCAATTGTTATCTCCATCAACGGGTGGCAGTGCGACTGGCCAGCCGCAATCTTAATTTTAAACAATTACAACAATTTTCCACTTTAATCTTCCACGTAACTTCACCTATATAGTTTTTTGTGGACATTGATTCTAAGCGGTGTCCGTGAGAGGAAAGCGGCGGTTGTGTTCGATGTATCGATCGTGGGTCTTCTGTAGGAGGTGGAGACACGGATAAAATACTGCCTTCACGCGCCTGCCTTGCCAACACTTGTGGTTAATATCCGAGCAACGTCGAGAGACAGCACACACCCTGCAGTAGACACAAGCAACACATCGCAGGTCCACTCATTCAGTACTTAACGGCTTCCCTGAGCGGCTAGAGAATCTCAAGCTGCAGCTCACACGCCAGTGCTGCTGTGGTTGTGTAGTTCTACTGGTAGTCGATGCCCCCCTCTTGCCTCCTTCAAAACGCCAATAGCTGTCCAAGAAATCAAATTACACGCCCTAGCTTAACCAACCAATTTCAAGATGGTGTGAACAAGATAACAATCATTTAGATATTCGAGGCTACAAGCGTCTAATTCGCCAAAACCACACGAGTGATTTGATTCGAGACCCTAGCAGTCAGGTGATATCCTCCTACTGGTTCCAGCAGTTGCACGCAAGCACCGTGGAGTCAATCAATCAATGAGGGAGAGAATCAAACTTGATCAGCGAAACATCTGTTACCAATCGTAAATCATATTTTTACAACAACAGGTAGGTTCGGTCCGTGCTTCACAAACGTATATTTACTGTTTTTTCAGATCAAGGTCAACAGTCCAATGACCCAGGCCGACAGATGTTCAATGCTTCAGCACCACGTAGAGTCAAGAAGAACGACACCAACCGCTCGATCCTCAACCCTGGTCCCGTGTGGCCCACGCTTGATCCCGGCAAGGGCACCCCTCCGGTGCCTGGGTGCACCTACATTTTCTACTATCCTCCCCATCATCCGCACTTCCAGACCCAGACCTCCGTCTAATGTCGGTCCTATCCGTCTGCTTGGTACCCAAGCCCTCCAGCCGCAAAGACCTAGCCGCCCCGAGGCTAGGGCCTTCGATAGGGTTTCCCACGGGGTCGAAGGCCTCGTTGTCGCACACCGGGAACGTGTACGTATCTTGACAGTACCCCTCGGTAACCAGCCAATCACCGATCTTTCCGATCTCCGCGAGGCATTCAGACGTGTACTCGGAGAAGGTCTCGGGTGTGGAGGTCACCTGACCCCGGTAGGTGATGTCACACGCCTTGCACATGCGAACCTTCATGGTAGTTACGCAGGCAGGCGTGCAACACATCAGATGGGAACGGAGGGAGAGGTGGGAGCACCGGGAGGGGAGCGGGGTCGCATGCGTAGTGCGTTGCCTGTGTCTGAAGGCGCGCTCAACACTACCAACATGAGCAGTCCTCGTACAACCACTCGGATTCGTATCTACACTTGGAGAGGGTTCCGACGTGGAGTTCGGGAGGGGTGGGGTCGGGGGAGGCAAGGGCGAATGCGACATCAAGAAGTCGAGGCAGTCTTTCGGAACCCAGTTATGTACGGTCAAAACAATTGCACGCACACCTTGATCTTGGTGTTGAGCCTTGTATTAGAATCAGTCTTGTTGCCCCCCAACCCGGACAGTTCGCTCGCGCACACACTCTCCACAGCCGAGTAGCAAAGGGCCTGTTGATCCTGATCGACCTGTATGACCGGGCTTTTACACAGGCACAGGTCGTGCGCGTCGCCTTCCTCGAAGAGACGACACCTGTTTTTCATCAACACCAGTTCAACGGGGATAACAAAGGGAGTGTTTTATTCTGGTTCAGGATGAACGCACAGCCCTCAATCGGCGCCAATCCTCACACTCGATATCTACTTGATTCTCACACTTTTACATGCCAGAGGACTACGTCCTCTCGCCAATACCCGAACGCCCCGCCCTACTTTATTGCTGTGTGTACCGACGGCCGCGCACGAGAACTTTGGCGTCCCGGACACGAGCAGAAGCGGCGCGGGGTGAGAGGGAGGAGCAGGTTGTACGAGAGTGATAACGACCACCGGCGATGTTGCATGTTACTTATCCACGATCAAACCTCCCTCCGGTTGAACCATTCCCAATCAGCCTTACCCATTTGGACTGGAAACTAGCAATACCTTCGCGTGTGCACCCCAACCACCCAGGCGTCCTCTGACTTGACCCCTGCGACGGTGACGCTGAACCCGAAGTCGTCGGGGCCAAGGTAGCCCTCCTCTGGCAAGTACCAGAACTTAGCCCCGCCCCCAGGTGCGGCTTGCACCCGATTCCTCGCCGCCACGGCCCCGAGCGACCTTGTTGACAGGCTCGGGCCTGAGCCGAACATGTCCGGACAGTTACGGGAACGATCCCCGCGGTCGCCGCCGCCGACCGCGTGGCAAGTACCGAGGTGGCGATCGAATCCATCCGCAGCGGTAATTTGGTACGCTGTGCTGGTCTCTTGGTAGTTCGTGGCGGTGGTGGTGTTGATGGTTACGGTTGTCGTTGTTGTTGATGCTGCTGTCAGGGCTTCCGCGGCGTTGGACGCTCCTGCGAACAGCCGGCCGTACTTGGGAAGTGTTTCCACCGTGACAACGGAGTCCGTCGTGAAGCGGAACACGTTGCCGAAAAAGTCCGTCACCACCAGCTGAGTAGTTCATTTCATTGTCACGGAGTTCGTCCATCACCGGCGGTGGTAGCGGCAAGGTGGTGGAGGCAGCGCACGATTGTCGTTGGCATCGCTTCCGGCGAGGGGGGGAGGAAACCGCTCATCTCTCAGGTTCGTTTGCTCTACAATGAGCTCTGTCATGTGACATGAATAACTTAGAACCAGGTAACAATCGCCCCGTCCATCGCTTGGATCATCAGCGATGACAAACCGAGAGAGCTCAAAGGCAACGAACGAAAGTACGGCAAACCACGCGTGACGGGAGTCATACTTGGCAGGGACGAATCGCGCAAAATCAACCCTGTCCACAAGAACAATGCACACACCTCCCAACCAGCGACGCCTCCGTCCCCGTGGGCGTGCCGATTCGCGGCCCTGCCGATACCGGTGCCCACTTCCATTGCCGTCGTGTCCCGGAGCCGAAGCGTCCACTGTCCACTGACGGTGGTGCCCATGAAGGCGGCCGTCAGGCTCTCTTCCGCATGGATCGGGTCCCACTCTTCTCGGACTGGGACAGGGTTCGACCGCGTTGACCTTCAAAGGAATTCGGAATTTGAAAAATTCGAAACTATTGAAAACTCTTGGAACAACCGATGGTATGAAGGGAACAATCGTTCGTTCAGGTTGAATCGATCAGAAGTGGGAGGCCGGAGGGAGGCCGGAGAAAGAGTTGGGCGGGGGGCACGGCAGGGGTTCAGCCGTGTTCTTGGCAAGTTTCCGGGCCGTTTGATTGGGGTAGGCACTGAAAAATCCCTCTCACATACCGTACTAAGTCTCACTCCGCGTCGGTCCACACGCGGTTCATGGAGATCGAGAATCCGAAAAACTGCTGGTGCACAATGTGGAAGAAATGTGAGTACGTGAAAAAGTTGGAGATGCCTCCAGTATACGTAGGAAAGACTCGGCTTCAAACAGGTCACACGATTTTGGGCATGCAAACAACGAGCCCCCGTCTCCCTCTTCGCGTACAAGAGAGCCTGACAATACACCGAAGGTGGACCTCAAATCTGGCCTGGAAAACCGACCGCAGCAGTGTGTAACAGCTCTGCTTGAACGCCAGCACGTTATTGGAGCAAGGTTCAAGAAGAACGACAGCATAGAGTTGACACACCTGCAGCTCGCTGGTGTGGTGGAGCTTCATTAATCACTCTAAAACGCCCGTGCTGTACGCTGTCTGGATGAGTTTGGACGATAACACGTACTTGACCGAAGGATCAACAACAAAGGCTAGCCGCCAAAACCTCTCGGTTATTGGCATTGTTATTATATTTGGGAGTCGAGCGCTTTGTCGCTGTAAACGGCGGAGTCGCATCTGGATGGGATAAGGCGGTACGGTAAAAAAGTGTTAAATCTTATCCCGGTCTTTGAGTCCCAATTCACTCCCTGGCGTCAAATAGCATGGTTATTTGTTGCACTTCTTCCAACAATATCCATCCTCAGCAGGTCTGTAAGCATTCTCCAAAGCAGCATGTCTCCTGTACCCCACCATCACCAAAACGTTGACGCTCGCTTACTTGGAGAAGGGTAAGAACGACAGCTCGTACGCCTGTAGCTCCGAGATAGATAGGTAGCCGGTCCCTTCCAGCTGAACGCGGATGACGCGACCAACGACCCCGCCCGGGATGGGCATGTTGACCTCGGGCTCGTTATCGGGGAGGTAAACAGAGTAGCTGGCGGCGGCCTTGGCCTCCTCGAGAGACTCCAATCTGTGTTTATCCGCCAGAAGAGCAGCATTGAAAAAAAAAGCAATGGGTGCTAACGTGCCCTTCGCTTCTAGAGGAGACTATGTAAAAAAACGTCGTCGCGTTGTGGTGTTGTTGCAGATTCTCTTAAGAACGGTACGTTTTCTCCGTACTTCGAGGACTGCGATTGATGTCCACTGCACGGGTGGATCTGAAAATCGTGTGAGACTGACCGTAGCAACAACAGACACCATCTTGGCTAGACAAAACAGCAGTGAACAACGGCAACTATGACGTTCCAAGCAACTATGATTTCTGACCGCTTCGTTGTTATCGGGTATAGGCTCTCACGCTCACCCCTCCGCGGCCTCCGTGGAATTGAATACCATCACCCAGCTAGGCCCGTGCATCGTGTTGATGGAGTGGCTGACCCCATCAACATAGACCCTGAACGACGGGAGAGAAAGAGCGTGATCCTTGGTTGTCGTTTGGAACAGACTCGTTTTCGAGAAGGTGTTGGGAAGGGGGGGCATACGCGTACACAGTTGATAGGTCAGCGGTGGAACGTTGACCATGGCGAAAGCCATCCCATCGAGGGTGTCGAGGGCGACGCCGTGCCCCCGTACAGACCGTAGCAACGCTACCTATTTTGACGTAGAGAGCCAGACCCTGCCTCTTTCGTCAAACACAGCACGAGAAAAGACGAACTCGTGCGGCCGGTGCTGCGGACGGCAAGGTGTCGTACCACCAGTCGCCTAGGTGGGAAGTGCGTGACGTAAGGGCGACGTATTTTTACATCTCTCCGTTCATTACATCCGTACATACTTCTGTCTGACGGGAGTCACTATTAATGTTCCACGTCCTCACCCTCCTGGGGTCGTGCCGTCCTGAATCGTGGCGAAAGTAAACGTGTTTCCAAAGCTGGTCAGGCCGTCATCAGACCCAAGCCCTATCTGAGGCACGTCGCCAGAAGGAGACACAAACGTCACCGTCCACGTCCGCTGGTACACGTCCTCATCCTGTGAGGACGGAGAACTCGACCGCGTCACCTTAGGTAGGAAGGTCGGGAAAAGGGACAGAAGACAACGGAGAATGATGCTGTTGTTGATGTTCCTTTTACAGTTGTGGCTAACTAACCTGCCGTGGCTGTTGGCGTTTACCTCTGAAAAGTATGTCTGGAAGCGCGTATCCTGGCATCGCGCAACTCTATCTATCTGCCTTCGCAGGCGAACCCACGGAGATACGAAGGCGGGGCATGGTGTAAACCACTTTCCTCGTGCCGAAATTTCGTTGAGGGTGACACAGGATAATGTCGCCGCCGATATCTTTCTAAAAACTATCAATATATCATCTTTGCAAGAATTTCGATATATTTTTCTTCGGGTGTCGTCCTCCAAACCTCCGTTTCACAGTGTACTCTGTTGTGCGAATGGGACGCTCGAAACGACAACCGCATATATTCTGGCAGGACCATGCGTATCTACCTCAACCGAAGTGATGCCGGAGAGCTCCTCCAGCTTGGACTCCAACGATTCCCCCGAACCGGTGCCCGTGCCGTTGCCTCGTTCTTCTCCGAGCGCTCCGACCGCGTTGTATTGGATATCATCTACAGTTTTCAATAAGAAACGGTACGGGAAACGTAGAGGGAAAGCTTCGTGAACAGGGCGTGGGACACTGTACGTTTGGTAGTGCTCCCTGTTCCGATTATATGTAACATGAACTCTCAGCATGTACACTGGTGGACAGTAGTCAAGGCGGTGTGTATGTTCAGGTTCCAAACTGTGGCGAACGGAAAGTGGAGATTTCTCGTGGAGCTCCAGAGAACCGAGGTTGACACGTTCATCGCAACGAACAGAACGACCTGCTCATCAACTGAACGAAACGGGCAATCGTCTGAATGGCAAGCTTCTCGATGCGGCATGTTCCCTGTTTATGAAGACTGTGAACCGAACATGACGCGCTATCAAAAGTTGTTTGGAAGGTTGCAATACATAATGTTGTTGGCGTCGTGGACATGTGCATAGTTGTTGTGGATGTTTTATTGCTCAAGACATTTGGCGACGTCTTTTTACCCGAAGACAAAGACCAAATCCACCAAGAGAGGAACAGATAATTGATGAGAGGAGCCCGGGAACGGCCCCCAGCATGACAGCGCACCCCCCGGCCCTCGTTCACCGGTCAAGCTGCTGATGCCCAGAGAATCCGTGAAGTTCAGCGTGAAGCTTCCTCCCAGCGCGTTGTTGCTCCTGAGTGTTATCGTCTGGACCTCGGGTTTCACGACCTCGTCCTCTCGCCCGAAGAGACGGATGTAACCCAAGGTGTACGATTTAGTAAGCGTTACCTGAATGACGATATAATCAGCATATTCACACGGGTGGTGAAGGAAACAAGGTGAATATTGACAGAGGAGAGAGAAAAAGTTCGTGGTGTGCATTGTGTGAATGCACTCCCCGGCCCCACCGCACCTCTTGCACGCACACACGCTTGGGGGATCGAACGCAATCCGCACGCACTCGGATGGTGGAGTCGTAACGTTGGATGTCAGTTGCCGACAGCTACGCTAAGTAACTTCCTATGCACCCTGTTTTCACGATGCATGGTATTCACCAGGAAAGCCAAGACAGCACCTATTTTGTGTAGTGCACAAATTGAATAACCGGCTTACGCAGTACGGTCATGATACCCTGAATGCTCCCCTTGGCCGTAGACATGCTGCTTACCTGCCACCACGGCTGAGTCTCGAGGGAAGTCATCGTGGTCGATCCGTCGGAGAAAAATCGGCTAAGCTGGCCGTCAACTGCTGCCCCTGACACGCCCCCGAATATGGTGGAACTCTGCCTCGACACCGCTTGTTCGTGCTTGGCCTGTGTTTTTGCATCATTTTTTTCGTCGGGTAGGGTGGGGGGAAGGGGTTTGAAAGGGTGGGATTAGAACGGATTGGCGAAACATTGTTGTGACATGATTATACAGCAATGTCGCCTCTTTGAGTCTCGAAGGAACGTGAAACTAAGCGTTGGCCTCACACATTGTGTGACAGCAGTGCGGGGGCGTTCCTACGCATTCGTACTCTATCCCCTTAGTGCGAATTGTTTATCAAGTGTAGTGAGGCCTGCTGTGGCGGTCGGCGATGTAGTGTTTTAACCATTTTTGCCTAAGCCCGCATTGGGGATCACCCCAAACGTACGTTAAACGATGAAATGTTCTGGAGTTTGCCGAAAAAGCAGCCTCAAAGCTGGCCACAATGGATGGTGTATCGGAAAACGATACCCTTCATCCCCTTTGCGCTTAGTCCTCATAACCTAAGGCTAATGGTATCCCCAATGTAGCACTTAACCACCCTTTGAATCTTCCAACTCCTTTGACGCCCAATCTCATCCACCGCCGTTTCCGCGAGAGACTGGCTCAGCGAGTCCCTCAATCGAAAGGGTGGCGTTGCGAAGCGGTGGGGCAACTCTTCAGCTCGGAACGACTGCAGAGTGGCCGACATCAGCAGCGCTGACAAGGCGATGCCCCCCCCCACGTACCGTCTGCCGATACGGGCAATAGATGCCTTTTTGTCAGGTCCTAACCGATGCTCTCGGGGATGTACTCGATGACCGCGCAGATAGTACAGACGTGCGGGCATTCCGTATCTGCTAAATCAACCACCGCATCGCTCGAACGCCTCCACGACGTCCCAAAATGGACAACAAAATCAACCCTCTGGATCACAGCAGAGGGAAATACGCAAGAGACCCCAACGTGAACGAAAGGCCGAACTCCACCTCGCAGAGCACTGAGTAGTACCCTTAACAAGCGCGATAGACTCCGCCTGCGTAGGGGCGGCTTCACTTCCGGGCCCTCAAGAGGTCCGCAAAGGTAAACCGTTGCTTTGCAACCCCGAGCTAGAGTCTTGTATCTTGTCCTACGAATATTTCATCCTCCGTTGTGTTGGTAACCATGCACAGGTTGAATTTAACCTCGTCTTCCGGCGTTATACATTGATTGTCAGGTGACCTCAATTCTTATTTGTGCAGTTGGACATGCAAACACTGACCACATTCTCTCCGACGACGTCGGCGAAGGCGTAGTCGTAGCCTATCCCTCTGTGCCAATATGCCGGTCGCGAAGGTGCGCCAGTCGACGCGGCTGATTTGATCGGCGGATGAATCAAGGCAGGATGGTGGCGAGTTTGGGGGGGAGGGGGGGGGCAGCCCTGATTTCGGCCTTTCAACTGGGGAGACAGAGGGCACGAGGTCACATTACGCTGTTCCCTACGAAGCTACTAAGACACAACACCGCCGAATCTATGCCAACACAGGTTTGTTAGGATATCTACATAGTAATAACTCGATATAAATATTATATTATTAAAAGTACATTTTCTGCACATAGAGTCAGCACCCAGAAGTAGCTGACACATGATCCACACAGACTTCGCCCTTTCGAAACGTGGCTATAATAATTCGGAACAAAACACACCAGTGAAGCAGCAATCAATCATACCATCCACCTACGTACGATCCCAATTTACCCGCCCACCTGGATTCGGTCCAAACCCTCGCATGTGTCGGCGTTCCTCGGGCACTCCGAACTGCACTCCGGCGGGTCTGGCGCTATAGCTGCTACTGTCCCCCATCGTCTCGGCCGAGGCAGACAGCACGCAAGAGTGCCCCTGGTGCAACACGGTGATCTCGAGATCCGATGCGTCCGCGTGGTAGAGCCCGCGGACGATAACCTCGGTTTTGGTGACTAGGTCCAGAAGGGATCCTGCGGATTTGACGGTATGTTGTGTGTTGGGGGGAATCATGATATTGCTTTCATATTCTGACAAAAATGGACTTTACATCTCAACAAAGCCGGGACGGAGCACGTCGGATTTTTTAGCCAAGTAGGCTTGGGCGGGTGGGGGGGGTGTACCCATAGTCGTGCATGCCGTAGTCGTTAGACCATTGACCTCGCATCCCTACAAAGCCGGGACGGAGCACGCCGGGTTCTCGCCGGACCAGGCTCTCACATCACCAAGCGCGAAGCGCCGTGAGATATTCGGCGAGTCGCATGAAGGGTGCGCTGCATCCTGCTAAGGGTGTTCGGCATCTTGTGCTTACTTCCTTGCGTACGGATGACAGCTGCGTATGACTTAATTTTTTTTCTGGTGCTTCACTTCCAGAGTCAGTTGTAAGCACTGTGTAA